CTGGTCGCTAAGCACTAAATGCCAGTGGCACCCCCTCAATCATTTTGATGACCCCATACAGTCCCACGCATTCCCAAATATCCCCTAAGGACACAGTTAGGCCATAAACAGATCCAAAGAATGTCTTAAATTTACAGATGTCCAGGATAAGATGCTCAGTGGCCTGGCTCATACAGTAATTGGTGATGGAGACAGCGCTGGAACCCACGACTAGGACTCAGGAGAGCATCACGTGACATCAGGTTTTCTCTGCCATCGAATGGAAAGCTGGTAATGTCCTCTGTTGCTGAGAATAGCTAGTGAATCCATGTTGCTGCAAAACTGAGCCTCCAATTCAACCAAAGCCAACGTTACTCATTAGCGGAGAGTCATCTGTGACAAATGGCATCTTAAAAAATAAGTAAGGAGGGGCGCCTGGGTGGCTTAGTCGGTTAAGCGTCCGACTTTTCGCTTAGGTCATGATCTCGCGGTTCGTGGGTTCGAGCCCCGCGTCGGGCTCTGTGCTGACTGCCAGCTCAGAGCCTGGAGCCTGTTTCAGAGTCTGTGACTCCCTCTCTTCTGACCCTCCCCTGTTCACGCTGTCTCTCTCTCTCCAAGAAATAAATAAAACATTAAAAAAAAAAAAAAAGTAAGGAGAAGTAATTCCATATCCGGGCTCTAGCCTAGATGTTATTTGGAGAGAGCTTGCATTTCCTACAGGGTCTGGCAAAGGGCAAGGGTGTTTGTCTAAGGCTGTTTGGGGTGAGGGCAAAGTCAGAGTGCTTCCATAACCAAGGCAGCTGGGGACCCCGAGAAGCACTCGAATGCCATGTTCACAGACTCTGAACAAAGAACTCAAGTTCTATTTGCAGTAATACTTTTGCTATTTCTTTATCCCCTATGAGCTTTTATTTGGTGGGGTTTCACTCCCCTGGCCGTGGCTTCCTCCTTAGCAGTGAGGCAACTTCCATCCACTATTTTCTGTATCCCTGTTGGGCTACTTGCTAGTCACCCAAGTCCATGTTCTATTATCGCTTAGTTTTTCCACAAAAGGGGACACAAAAGAGCAGCCACAGTGTGACCTGCATGATGCTAAATGTGGGGATACAGCCGGAAGATACAGGTGGTTCACAGAAATGCGCAGGACGGATGTGTGGCTTTGGAAAGCCGGGCTCACATTCAAACCCAGCCATGTTATAGTCTTCATTTGGTCATATCCCACCTCTCAGCCCATTTTCTCACTTCCAAAAGTAGGGGACACACGTACATTCCAGAGCTACAATAGGCATTACATAGAAATTGTGTGAAAATTCCAAGCAAGTGCCTAGCACATACATTTCCTTCTGCTTCAGGAAGTGCTGTGTCCTAATGATCATTTCTCCACTGCCCTCAGCTAAGACTTTGAGCGAGCTATGTAACCACAGTTTCCTCATCTATAAAGTGAAGTTGACACCCACCTTATCAACAGGTAACAGGGAAATTCAGAGGGGTGTTACGAGTTTGAGTGATCCGACAGAAACAAAGAGATTCACATGGATCTTAATCCAGTCTTTTATACTTAATTGAAATTTTAATCTAAGAGCGCATACACACTAATATGTTTAACTTGTTTTAGATTCATAGCATCGGGCACAGAATTAGAATAACACAAACTCAATTCTGATAATGGCATATGCTTTGCATTATTTTTCAAAACTAATCTGTGCACACTTTTTTAAAAAAATGTTTATTTATATTGAAAAAGAGAGATATAGAGAGCAAGCAGGAAAGGGGCAGAGAGAGAGAGAGAGACAGAATCCCAAGCAGGCTCCATGCTGTCAATGCAGAGACTGATTCAGGGCTCAAACTCACAAACAGTGAGATCATGACCTGAGCTGAAATCAAGAGTCCAATGTTTAACTGACTGAGGTAGCCAGCCACCCCGTAACACTTTTTTATTTTCATTGATGCCATTTATGTCACCGCAAACCTCACATCACACACAGAAAGATTCCTTTCTTGTTCTTTTAAAATAAGCCCTCAAAACATTTAAACATAAATTACATCTCAATTCAGTTTTAAGATTCTATGATGTCTTGGTGATCAACATAATCGTCCTGGGGTGAATGCAGATATTCCTGGGAACTATGCAGAATTAGCTTAGTGTAATAGAATAATCAAATATTTCAAAGTCTGGCCTGGATTCAAATCCCAACCTCTCCATTGACTAGCAGTAGAATTTCAGAAAAATTGTCCAAAAATCTCTAGAGTTCTTCATTTCTAAACTATGTATCTCACAAAATTTGTGTGTGAACCTGTAACTTTGACTGTCTGTGGAAGTTGTAACAGGATTAAGTACTCAGGAAAGACTTTCCAGTAGCAGCTTGGACTCAGGATAAGAAAGGCCGCGTGTTCCTTCTTAGTCTGGCTAACTTCTAGTCACCTTCCAAGACTTTGATCCCAGGATGCCTTCTCCGGGGGGCTCCAGACCACTACCGACCCGTTTACTGATTCACAGATGGGCTGGGCATTTTTTTCTAGCACTCCCCTGACACTCTGTGTTTACCCATCTCAAATCACCAACCACCCAAGCCAGCTGCCATGTTATGCCTGTTTGCCTCTGCCACCCGACAAGCCTCGCACACTCCAGGGACCGCTCTCACCCCAATGCCCTTGTCCCTCACATGTCTTAGGTGTTAACCATATACTTGATATCTGAAACTTGAATGGGATAAAGACACAAAGTTCTATAAAGCCACACCCCAAAAGTGCTGAAACACCTTCCTCTCCCATTCTCTCACCAGCCCGGAGAGCCGCCATCTAATCACTGGAGCACAGAATGTTGAAGTCATTTGATAATGGTGCTAGTAGTGCCAAAAAGCAAATGAAAAGAATCTCTAAGGCGTTGTTTTTCTCTTGAATCTGAAAGCCAGTGTGCGAGCTGTCAGCTCTTGTGGCAAGAAATGATAGTCCCTTTAGGACAAACAAGAGATAATTTCTGGTTGCTTCTTCCTTTCTGTGGCACTCTATGAGGCTATTCCTCCCCCAAAATGAATACAGGCGATAAAAGTAAGGCTATGGTATTTTTAAGAACATTATCTATCTGAGGTCCTCGTGGAAGTGGTACAAGCCTTAGGTAAGTCTGCCTATAAACCTGTCATTCCATTGGATGTTTATCTCCATAGGTCTTGCTTGGTTTCCTCTCTGGTCAGGGAGGCCAGATAGGCCTGTGAGGACAATCTTGTCTTCATGGAACAGGTGATGGGGGAAAAGGAAAGACAAAGTATCTATTACTAACTTATTCTGGCAAAGCCTTTATGTCTTTTGCATACATCATTTTATTTAATCCTCTCAGAAGCCCCGTGAGGTAGTTAAGCAGTTCATTATCTTAGTTTTACAGATGTAAGCCCAGAGACTCAGACATATTCCGTAACTTGCCCAAGGTCACACAGACTGTAAGAAGCTCCCGGTGCCATATGGACCTCCCACACAAGAAAATTTCTCTGCAAGAAGTCACCAGGTGGCACACGGTTCTTTCATTCATTCACAGGCTTTGGAGTCACACAAAGGGACCGAGTCCCGGGCACAGAATATACAATCTGCGTGCAAGCTAATTACCGAATCTTTTTAAGGCTCCATTTCTTATCTGAAAATGGAGATTATAAAAATGCCTGCCTCACAGGATTGTTTGGAAGATAAAATGAGATGACGCACGTGCTCAACACAGGACAGCTACTCTGGCTCAACACGTTTCTACCGACAAAGCATCCCGGTCGGAGGCGAGAGCCAGTGTCAAAGTCAACCCTCTAAAAAACAACGAGCACTGTTGTCATAGTGATATAAACCAAGTTCTATAGGAATGCGCATGAGGAAATGATGGATTCTGTCTGAGGGAGCAGAGAGGATGCTCCAGAGATGGTGACATTTGAGCTCAGCCTTCAGGGACCTGCCATGCCTCCCTGGTTTGGGGAGATGGTATCACTGGCATGGCGAGCTCTGTAAACAAGACTTGGGATGTGACAACATGTAGCCAGACAGATATGCACTGTGGGGTGGCTGAGGGGAAGAGCAGGGGATCCAGCTACAGCTGCAGGTTAGAGTCAGAGTGAGAGGAATCTGTCACATCAGGCTCCATTCCTGGAGCTGGGAGTCCCCAGCACTCCCTCAGGAGGGGAGCCACATGCGCTCATTTGCATGTTGGAAAGAGAACCGGGGAGGCCAGCTGGACCACAGATCGGAAGGGAGAGAGCTGCAGGTAGGAAGACCACAGTGACTATGCAGGGACACAGGACGAACAAGAGTGTGGGAAGGGAAGAGAGAGCAGGGGGGCTTCCCTCTGACGGGATGGATTGCAGGTGTTAGTGATGCGGCCCGCGCTCATTTCTCTCGGGCAATGCAGTTTAGTGTTCTGTCCTCTTCTTCAGACTTAAGAGTCTGACAAATTTAAGGCAGCCATCTCCCTCTCTCTCTGACCCTCCCCTGCTCACGCTGTCTCTCTCTCTCTCTCTCTCCTAGAAAAAAAAAAAAGTTTAAGGCAGCCACGAAGGATTGAAGTGAGAAGGCTCTGAATATAAGAACAAGCAAAAACTAAAGGTAGTTTGTGAGCTTGCAACAAGGTAATGTTCCTTGCTCTCGAAGCCCCTAGTTTACTATAAAAATACCTCCAATATGGCATCAAAATACAAACAGCTAGGGGCGCCTGGGTGGCTCAGTAGGTAAAGCGTCTGACTTTGGCTCAGGTCGTGATCTCATGGTTCATGAGTTCGAGTCCCACATCGGGCTCTGTGCTGCAGCTCAGAGCCTGGAGGCTGCTTCGCATTCCGTGTCTCCCTCTCTCTGCCCCCTGCCTACTCACACTCTGTATCTCTCTCTCTCAAAAATACATAAACGTTAAAAAATTTAAAAAAAAAAAACAAACAGCTATTGGGGTTGTCATTTTTTAAATGGACTGTGGAAACTGTGTATTTCATTTTCCCAAGGCTCTGCATTTCAATAGTCTTTTGGAAAAAGTCTGTTGGTCAAAATCAAGTCATTAGGGGGGTGCCTGGGTGGCTTAGTCGGTTAAGCGTCCGACTTTCGCTTGGGTTTCGACGTGGGTTCGAGCCCCGCGTCAGGCTCTGTGCTGACTGCCAGCTCAGAGCCTGGAGCCTGTTTCAGTCTGTGACTCCCTCTCTCTCTGACCCTCCCCTGTTCACGCTGTCTCTCTCTCTCTCTCCTAGAAATAAATAAAACATTTGAAAAAAAAAATCAAGTCATTAGGAAACAGAATACTGAGAGGAGTTTTATTCTGGAGCTATTTCACACCTTTCCCCCAAAACACAGATCGCAGAATTAGCATGAATTGTCCTATGCCCAGGTGCAATCAAACTCTCCAAGATGCTTAAGGATCAAGGATACTTGTGGATTTTAGAGGTAGAAGACATTTATTTTCAGCTTTTTGTTTCAAGCAGAGAGGCTGAAGGCTCAAAGCACAGAAGCTTTAAAAAGGCTTGTGAACTGGGGCACCTGGGTGGCTCAGTTGGTTAAGCATCTGACTTCAGCTTGGATCATGATCTCATAGTTCGTGGGTTCAAGCCCTGCATCAGCCTCTGTGCTGACAGCTCAGAGCCTGGAGCCTTCTTCAGATTCTGTGTCTCCCTCTCTCTCTCTGCCCCCTTCTGGCTCACTTGCTCTCTCAAAAATAAACATTAAAAAACCATTTAAAATAAAAATAAAAAGGCTGTGAACTGGTCATTTTAGTTCAAGGTTTGGTTAGGAGCTGACAGGGGAAAGGTGTGAATATATATATTAATTAATACTTATATTACTTTATAATGAGTAAACATTCAAAGAGCAACCGAGGATATTTCAAAGCAGAGAAAAATGATGGACTCTGTGATGAATGGCGTTGGAACAGTGAGCTGGCCATGTAGAAAAACAAAACTCCAGACTGCCACATACTCATGAATCCTAAATAGACTCCAAATGGAAAATAATACATATACTAACAGAAAATATTTTTAGAATGTTTTTCTAAAAACAAAAGTTATGATTTTAAAATAGGAAAGATATTCCTAGGCATAAAATATTATTAAGAGCCAGAGAGGAAAAAATATCAATAAATTTGACCATATAGAAACTTTGGTGAATATATATAATAAAAATATATATTGATAAAATCAAAATCAATCTGAGTAAAAAACCGCTGATAACATGCGTAACCACCCTCCCGCCACCTGGCTTCCACACCTCTATCTGCAGGAGTTAAAAGTTGCTCTAGAACTCTGTGTGCTCATAATAAAGCTCCCTTTTCTCCCAGTTTCAGTTCCTCACATCCCCTTGCACCCACTCCCAGAGCTTCACCTCCTTTACCCTCTTGGAGATCATCAGCATTGATTTCCATTATGATCTTTATCCGTGTTAATCTGGATCACCTCAAGAAGCCCAGATTTCCCTCATTATCTAGACCCTTACTCCCATGTGGCCCATTCACCTCCATTTCTGGCTTCACCCCTCGCACACCCCTAATTCCTAAAATCGTCCTGCCATGCTGTTGGTCAAATTCAGATCTCCTATATGCTTACTTCTTCTTTGAACATTTCCATCAACCCCCTGCTCCAACTGTAACCTGGCTGGCCCCGAGCACAGTACTTCCTCATAGCCCTATCCAGGGGTGTCTTTTCTCTCTCTGCCCCTTCTTACTCTCTAGACCTGGAAATCAGGTGGGTGTCCTCCCTCTGATTGCCATGACTGGGCCATCGGTTCTCTCTCCTCAACTTGAGAACTCATGTCCTAAGACTGGCACTTCCTGTTACAGTCATCCATTGGCCCAGACCACCTTTCCCATTTTCAAAGACTTTTGAGGTGCCTATTTGCTTCTTTAATTCTCTTTAATGCTACTCTTGTCCTAACTATTTGTGATTTCAACATATGCAGAGGTGATCCTTGTAACATCCTGGCATCTTTGACCTCTGGGTTCTTTCACCTCTTTTCCTCCAATGATCATGTCCTTCACCTCATTGCAGCCACTGACCCTCCCATGGCCAAGCATCTCATTACCAATAAATGCAACCCCTCTACAGTCCAATATCAGGCATTCTGCTCTTTTACCACCTGGCACCTTTGTCTTGAACTTCCAGCCCCTAGAACTGTGAGAAAATAAATTTCTGTTGTATAAGCCACCCATCTGTGGTATTCTGTTGTAGGGCTGTAGCAAAAATACATCTGGCAAGATTCCTCTTTCCCCTAATTTCCCTTGTGTAGCTGCACAATTGAACTTGACTCCACCACCACCAGCAACAACAACACCCAAGTGTGGTGACTGGTGTCACATGACACTCAAGACTAATCATGTCAAGTGGGCCCTGGTGTTTCAGGGCAATCATTCTTCATGTGCCTAGTCCCCTTCTCTCTTTCCGTTATGTGCAGCTATCTCATACCTTGTCTTCTCTCCTCAAGCCTCCAACATCCCCTTGACCCTCACCTTCAGTGAATGATGTTGTTTCCTCTCTTGCTGAGAGAATAGGAACAATCACAGGAGACCGTTCTCAAGCTCTCACCACATCTCCTCACTTAGCCTACATACTTTCTATTTAGCTTATTTATTTTTTGTCTCTTTCCAATAAATGTAAGCTATATGAGAGCAAGGATTATATCTATTTTGTTCATTGCACTATCTCCAATGCCTGTAACATAATAATAGCCCCTCGATAAATATTGTTAGAATAATGAACAAATGGATATGACAGTGGACTAATTTCCTTATTATACACAAAAACTCTTACAAATCCTTAAGAAAGAGAATAATTAGACAAAAAGTATGAACAGGGAGCTGATGGATTGAAGAAATATAAATGGCCAATAAGTATAAAAATGCATTCAACATTGTTCATAAAAAGGCAACTCAAATTCCATGTATCAGAGTGGTGAAAATTTTAAATCTTGATAAAACTCAGTGTTGGTAAGGATACAAGGAAACAGGCACTTTCACCTACTATTGGTGGAAGTGTAAGTTGGCATTCTCTCTCTTTTTTAATGTTTATTTATTTTTGCGAGAAGAGAGAGACAGAGTGTGAGCAGGGGGTGGGCAGAGAAAAAAGGAGACACAGAATCTGAAGCAAGTTCCAGGCTCTGAGCTATCAGCACAGAGCCTAGTACGGGACTCAAACTCACTGACCTGGAGATTATGACCTGAGTTGAAGCCAGATGCCTAACCAACTGAGCCACCCAGACACCCCTATTGGCATTCTTTTTTTTTTTTTTAACAATATCTACCAAAATTTAAAATAAATACTCCTTGCACCAGTGTGCCAAGATTATATGTTATAGGATGCTCATTCACAGCTTTGTTTGGTATTTGTTTGTTTGTTTGTTTATTTATTTATTTATTTAGTTTTTTTTGAGAGAGAGTGACAGCATGCACGTGCACTAGCAGGGGAGAGACAGAGGGAGATGGAGAGGGGATCTTATCCAGGCTCCATGACAGTGTGGAGCCAGATGCAGGGCTGAGCATGTATCATGAGCATGTATCATGGTGAGATCATGACCTGAGCTGAAATCAAGAGTCAGATGCTTAACCCATGCTGCCCCCACAGTTTTGTTTGCAATAGCAAGTATTAGATTTAAATTAATATCATGCTGTTTAAATTTGAGACATTCATTCAAGGAAATGCTTTGTAGCCATAATACGAAAAATATACAAGCACCTGGGGGGCTCAGTCAGTTAAGTGTCCGACTCTTGGTTTCGGCTCAGGTTATAATGTTATGATTCTTGACGTCATGATGTCACGGTTCTCAAGTTCAAGCCCCACTTCAGGCTCTATGCTTACAACTCTCTCTCCTTCTCTCTCTGTACCCCTCTCCATTCACACACTTTCTCTCAAAATAAATAAATAAACTTTAAAATAGTTTAAAATGAGGGGTGCCTGGGTGGCTTAGTCAGTTAAGCATCTGACTTGGGCTCAGGTCAGGATCTCATGGTTCATGGGTTTGAGCCCTGTGTTGGGCTCTGTGCTGACAGCTCAGAGCTTGGAGCCTGCTTCAGATTCTGTGTCTCCTTCTCTCTCTGCCCCTCCCCAGCTCGCACTCGGTCTCTCTCTCTCAAAAACAAATAAACATTACCAAAATTTTTTTTCATTTATTTAAAAAATAGTTCAAATTTAAACATTGCTGCTATGAAAAGATGTTCATTATAGTCAACATTCAAGCAATAAACAATCTATAAAATGTGTGTGTGTATGTGTTTCCATTAAATATCTCTCAAAGGCTATATAAGAAGCAGTTAATACTTATTTTTTCTGAAGAGTAGTTCCAGGGTGGGTAAGGAATGGGAGTCCTTTGGTTGTCTTATTCTTTAGTGTTTACTTTTCATAACATGTATTATTATTTTATTTTTTACAAGAGAGAAAGAAGCACCTTAAAAAGCAATGGTCAAGTTCTTTTCCCTTTTATAATTTCAATGTTGTGTATATGTGAATACATACATACATATCACATTTTATGCAGTGCATGGAGTTAAAACAATTTCATATCAGTTAATGGATCCAGGTTTTTTTTTTTTTAATTTAAAGCTGTTTTCAGAAGGCAAAAACAACCTGTCAGGATAGTTGATTAAATGCCTACCTCCCAACCCCCACATACACACATATAAATTCAATAATGGGAAAAAATCATTCAGATCATTTGTTTGGCATTTTGAAAACAAAGAAGCCAATCAATAAACCACTTCTCAGCTGTGTGTGTGTGTGCGTGTGTGTGTGTGTGTGCTATTCTTTAGACAAGTACTATGTTTCTGGGTTTAGATAGAGAAGTCTATTTCATATAGACTTCATATGTACCTACTAATTGTCCATCATAGGACTGGGTGCTTTAAGTAACCTAAGTCTCTCCTTCAAGATACTTTAATCTTTATAAAGGTAGAAATACACACACACACACACACTCACACACACAGGAAACTATGAGGAAAGACTTAATCAAAGAATGAAGACTAGAGAGGCCACAAGCAGAAATCAAGCCACATAACCAACCATCAATGCCTTCCTTCTAAGAGCCGGCCTTTGAAATCACAGTTTTAATATAATAGTTCATGCATTCCAGTAAATTATGACAAATCAGAAATGCTGCTACTAAAATGGAC